AACTTTTTAACTTTTTGAATAACTTTTTAATTTTTTAACTTTTTTAAAAGTACCCAAACTTGGCCTTAGTCGGGCTTGATACTTCACATTCATGTAATTGTGTGTACGTATAGAGTGTATTATGGAAGGGATTGATGCAAAGAGTACACCTCAAGTCAGTTAGAAGATGGTGAAAAGGGTTGGGGAATAAGGTCCTATTGTGAGGTTCAAACCAAGGCAAGCTTCTGGTGTGCAGTCACTTTTATATCTAACCCTCTCTTTCTTTTTTTTTCTTTTTTGTTTTTTTTTTGGTATTGTCCTGCCTTTTATTAATTTCAATTCATTGCTGTTTAATGCATTAATTGGCATTATGTGGGTGAGGATAAGTTGCTAATGAGTGTCGATCCAGAACCTCCTCCTTTTTTTCCTCCTTTTTTTTTTTTTTTTTTTTTTTAAGCCTGAAGCAAACTCTAAAAACAGGTTCCTCATCATACATATACTAAAGAGAATTGTCGATAAAAGTGTTTTAAAATAAAAAAAATCACACAAAAATTTTATATGTATAATCACTAAAATTATAAATTACAATTTACTTACATCAATTAAGATATGAACAAATTACTTCAAGAATTTATAAAGATAAAAATATTATTATCTTCTTACTTTATAGCTTTTATTTGAGATGTGTGTTGATTTTTTGGCCTTTTAGCTTTTTAGCTTTTTAGTTTTGGTCTAAAAAATTTCGTTTGGGATGTTTTTTTTAATTTTTTTGACTTTTGTGAAAGAAAAAATAAAATATTTATGATTTGAATGTAACATTTTATCTTATTAACTTTTTACTTTATTTTTGTTTTTTATGACTAATTGGCCCAAAACAACATGCCAAACATAGCCATAGTCTAATAAAATTCAATTTATGACAAGAAATAACACCAGGCAAAATTAAAACTATAATATCACTATTATTCTTTTTATATTTTTAGTGAATGTTTGACATCTCCTAAAAAAGTTAAAAAGTACTGAATAGCCAGAGGGAAAAATTACAAATTTGCCCTTTTGAATTCAACAGCCAAAAGTGAATGTCAGTGTATTCATTTTACCAAATGCACTGATGTGGCTAATTATATGCCACGAATTCCCAAAGTCAACAAAATTTTGAAATGCACTGAATGTACACAGTATGTGTCAGGAAGGGTATATGAGTAATTTTGATATTTGATATAATATTTTATTACATATTTTTTCGTAAAAAGTCAAAAAGTTATCACAAGCATACATCTTTTTTCTCTCTACTTTTTTTAATCAAAAAGTCAAAAAATGCACTTATATAAATCATCCCAGACAGCCCTTTAGTTCCAAATTGCTGGTTGAACTTGCATGATTAATTCATTTACCATATGATTTTCAATAAATAACATAATAACTAATTTATTTAGCCCTTGTTTGGCATGGAGGCTACTAAGCTAAAATAGTCATAAAAAAATAAAATAGACTGAAAAGTTAATAAGACAAAATGTCACATTCAAACCATAATTATTTCATTTTTTCTCTTACAAAAGTCAAAAAAATCAAAAAGTCCAACCCAAACGAAACTTAGGCTGTGTTTGGTTTGTGTTTTGAGATAAATTTTCAAAAAACAATTTAGGGAGAGAGTTTAGAATTTTTTTTGGTTTGTTTGGTTGTATATTTTGAAAATAGTTTTAGAGTTTGGGATGATTTTATATTTTTGTTATAGTTGAGCAGATGTATGTATGAGAAAAGTGATTGAGAATGAGAGATGAGCGAGAAAAAGTGATTAACTGATGTGTAGGAAAGAAAAAGTAATATTGAATTTTTTTTTTCAAAAAATTTGAACCAAACAAAATTTTAAAAAAAATTCTCAAAAATTATATTTTGAAATACAAACCAAATAAGCCCATAACCTTTCCCCTAATTTATTGATTGGATATGAGATTCGGTCATTGATCAACTTCAATTTTGAAATACAAATTTCTTCCTAGGCAATTATAACTGTCATGATCAATAATATTCTATAAATAATTTATAAATCTAACAAATAACCCTTCATTACTTTTAAATAACTAGTGGCGGATATATTTGGCCAGGGTTATCTCAAACTTCGTTTGAGAGTAGTTAGGTTTTATTTTTTTGTCTGTTTGTTTGTTTTGCATTTTTTTTTCCGATGTACCAAAAAATAAATAAATAAATAAATAACTCACCACTTCAATAATATTTAACTTTCCACACAAAAAACGTGCTTAATTGTTGCGGAAAACTTTATTTTGGAATTACTGATGCAATAAGGATTAAAATTATCTGAAATCGCCCTTTTTAAAACAAAATTTAAGTGTTCAAAGCAACCACCCTGCTCGCCTGCCCCCAAGGTAGACGTTGTTTGTAATTAAGGTTAACTCCCTCCCTTTCTTAGTTGTAAATTTTTTCTCCTTTTTTTCTCACTCATAATTTTTTTTTTTTTTTTTTTGGTACATGCAAGAACATCAATTTAACCTTAACCTATAACTAGAGGTGTTCACAGATCAAATTGATCCAATTTTAAAATAAATGAAGTGTCAAACCAGTTTCTCTGGTTTCAAAAAATTGAAACCATAATCAAAGTGTTAACACATGGAACCAGATCAGAATAAAATCGGTTTAGTTCGACTTGGTTTTACGGTACTAGAAATTTTATATGGGCAATAAATTTGATATTTTGTTGGAAATGGTTGGAAAATTCTAGGTAAAATCAGAATTTTTTCTTAACTTTGGTCTATTATTTAGGTGGGACCCGAGGGTCGATTTTGGCGGTTAAAGTGGTAACGTATTCTATGCCGCGTTGTGATTCACATGGTATATTTGGTTGCTCAAAATCATTACCAGGTGAATGGAAAATTGAAGCCAAAGTATGCTCCATGAAAATGAATTTTTGATAAAAAAATCCTTAATGTTGTGTTTGATTGGGGGATTTGGGAAGTGATTTGGAAACGAAAATGGAAAAGGTAGGTGAAATGTGAATAAATCATGCCTATATTTCACATAGTTTCACACACCTTTTCCCTTTCCCTTTCTAAATCCCTCCCAAAATCCCCCAACCAAACACAGTATAAAGGTTTGAATAAGGTTTGTCCCACATTGATTTGGTGGGAAGTTTTGAATGGGTTTATAAGACATAGCATTGGAACTTGGGGTGTGCTCCAAGGGGTACCCAAGTTTTGTAGAGATGAAGGTTATGAGCAAAACGGGCTAGACCTATTGGATCCAAAAATCACCACACGCGCGCGCCACTGCCGCCGATCGGGCGCGTGTGTGAGGTTGGATTGGGCTTGTTCGGCCCAGTACTAATCTTTTTGGGCAAAAAATATTTGAATTTAAATTTTATTTTTTGAAATAAAATTTGTCCAAAAATTCATTCTGAATTTCTGTCCAGATTTAAATTTTAAATTCAAATTGTTGCACCTCTTCACAGACAGACCCGAATCTGTCCAGATTCAAACCCAAAACCAAATTTGTTTTGTTCAAATTCAAATCCACTCGAATTTCAAACCTAACAGTGCCTTAAACAGATTTGTATTTATTTAATTCAAATTGAACAGGTACAGTACCTGTTTAATTCAAAATGGAAAGCCACCAATCCATCTATAAATAGACTAGCCCTCATTTGTTATCAGATACACTAATTTTCATCCATAAAATTCAGCATTCATACTCTTCATTTTGCTGCATTATTTTCTTGTCAGAGAGAGTATAAAACACTTAGTGTGTTCGTTGTACAAATATATTGTAGTGCTGCATATATTTGTTGTAGATCATTTCATCCTGGGAGATAGACGTTCATATTCTGAAAGCACCGAGAAGAGGACGAATCTGTCTTAAGGACACAGTGTCAAACACTGGACTTGATCAGATTATTATTCGAAGAAATTAATCAAGTAAGTTGTTTAATTTATTATTCTGTTTTTATTATTTATTTAAATCAGATTTTAATTTTGTTTTTGTAACAAAATAAAATCTGTTTTTATTTATTTAATTCTTTTTCTAGTTTGTTTTTTGTAATCAAACATTCATTCTCCTTTCCTATATTTCTTTTATATTATGTTTGTCGTTTAGTACTCAAACAGAATTAATTATTTTAAATACAGTGAAGATTGTCCAACAATTTTTATATTAGTAAACAAATTCAGAATAATTAGTTTGGTGCTAAACCTGTAAGGGTAGCCCAGTTGGTTGAGGGAAAAAGACTAGGGACCTAGGAATCCGGATCCTCCGTCGCACTTCCCTGCAGCCCATTCCTGTCGCCCTCCAAAACAACGTCGTTTTGGAGGGGTTTTTTTTTTTTTTTTTTTTTCTTTTTCTTCTTTCTCTTCCGTCTGTGTCTGGTTATATCTCTCTCTCTCTCTCTCTCTCTCTCTCTCTCTCTCTCCTTATTTCAGATTGCAAATTGAATCGGTGACCTCACCACTCTCATCTTCACCTCCCTCTACAACATCTCCACCGACCTCCTCTTCGGCACCCCCATGCCCGTCCAACCCATGAAAGCCACCGTCGCCGTCACCATCTCTGAATCCCCTCACCTCAACATCTCCACCGGCCTCCGAATCCCCTCACCTCACCATCCCCCAAATCACAATTAGAACACAAGGCAAAAAAAAACATATTAGAACAACCATTATCAATCCAACGACCCATAATGAGCCATCATTGCAATTAGTCTGTGTAAGAATGGTAGATAAGATTCACAAGAATGAGTAACACAAACCCAATTAAACTGTTTGCCATTATATACTTAATTCCTCTGTATCTTTTTGTTCTAAAACATACCCATAATACATGAAAGTAGTGTAATCAAGAAGAACACAGCAATTGGCCATTACCAAGCCCATTTAAGACGCAATAGCTCCATTCATCTTCAAAACACATTATGATCTAACAATTCAAGAATGGAAACAAAGCAAACAAAGATGAAGACAGTGAAAAGCAATGGAGAATGGCATTCAATTGATCATATAACAAAGAACCCAAAAAAATAATACCAAACCCAAGTGGTATCAATAAGGCTTGATATTCAATAAAGCCAAAGTCGTAAAATTTGAACTATAAATTCATACATCAAGTGCAAATATATCTGTCAAAATGCCAAAAACCCTAAATAACGAAAAGAAAATTGACGACACAGGGAGAGCCATAGACGTAAGTGCGAAGGTCCATCATCGATTATTACTTCGGTCGCTGCCTCATCTTTCAACGCTTTCTCTTCAACCTCCTCATACGCTTCTTCTTCCACTGAAATCACAAAAAAAAAAAAAAATAGTGTCAACTGAGAATCGAATCGAATAAACAAAGGTCGAAAGGGTTTTGATTTAGCTTTGTACCTCAGCTCTCATGGTGGTGGTACAGTACAGTGAGTCACGAACCCTCTTTTTGGGTCTTCTTCTTCTTCAAGGACAATCTCTCTCCTCTCTCCTCTCTCCATTCCGAAATAGGCTGTGACGATAGCTTTTTGAGCCCCCTCCCATGACTCGGGCACTGAGAACCGAGAGAGAGAGAGAGAGAGAGAGAGAGAGAGAGAGAGAGTTATCCGTGAGAAGAAGAAGAAGAAGAAGAAGAAAAAAAAAAAACCTCCAAAACGACGTTGTTTTGGAGAGCAACAGGGATGCGCGGCAGGAAAGGGCCACCGAGGATCCTGATTCAAACCTGTAAGGGTAGCCCAGTTGGTTGAGGGCAAAAGACTAGGAACCTAGGAATATGCTCCTATCTAGGTCTCAGGTTCGAATCCCACCCCCAACTAGCTACTGGTAGGTCACTGCGTCTTTGCCTAGTCGAACGACTCAAGGCCTCGAGATTAGTCGTGGTGCAGCACTTTGAAGGGATGCTGGCCCGGACACTCGGTTATAAAAAAAAAAAAATTAGTTTGGTGCTGGTGGGTGCTAAAAAAATTAGTTTGCCCTAATGGGTGTAACTTGGAGACTGGGATGTGTTCCCTCTAAGTTTCAATTTCAACTCCCATTAAGTGTCATCAACTCCTTGAGGCCATACCTACGGGCTATATTTGAGATTTGCCTGATTCATGTAGAGATGGCACTTTGGGTGGGTTCTAGGATTAGTTAAGGTACGCCTAATCTGACTCGGACACTCGGTCATAAAAATAATTATTATTATTATTATTAGTTTTGTTAAGTTGATTAGAATTTATCAATTTCACAATCAAAACTAATGTTCAAATCTTTTTCTTTTTTTTTAAATCCATATTAATAATAAACAAATATATCATGGTCTGATTCAATTTAGAACCATAATCAAAGGCTTGAAACTAAAAACTGAAAACTGGATCGATTTGAAGAGTTCTACTATTTTGAAAGCTGCACTCAAAAATAACATCAAAATTAATAAAAATTAAAGGAAAATGCTATATGCCTCAAATTTTCTACCAAATGAATGACCAAACCTCTTACATGGGTGGGGCCCACAACCCATGTGAGAGGTTTGATCATTCATTTGGTAAAACTTTTTGCATCTCTAGCATTACTCGAAATTAAATTAAACCGACGATTTCAACTGATTTATCAGTTTCACTCATTTTTTCAAAAAACCTGTAGCCTACAATCCAAGAAAAAGAAGAGTCATCAATTTAATCAACTGAACAAGTCACTGGACCAATGTTTAAAGTTTTAGTGGGAAGACTCAAATTGAAAAGTAAAAAAAATAAAAATAAAAATAAAAAATTTAGATTGCGTTCGGTAGAGTTTTAAAATTATAATTTGATAACAGAATTGTATTTTGAGTTTGTGAGTTTTAATAGAGAGACTTATTTATAAGTCATTTTTCAGACACTTATACTATGATAAATCCTGTGTAATTTCTTATAGAGTCTCAAGTCCTATTTAAATAAGAATGTATTCCACAAGATCCTACATAAACATAACGTGACGTGACACTTACATAAACGTAACGTAACGTGACACCTATATAAACGTAACATAACGTGACACCAACATAAACGTAACGTAACGTAACGTAATGTGTCACGTTACGTTTCGCAAACTTAATGAGTTTTTATTTTTTTAAATTGAATGTGAAAATGTTGCTGGTTTATGTTAGTGTCACGTTACGTTTCATATAAATATGATCTATGGCAACATTCGATTTCCTATATAGGAAATTGAATGTTGCCATAAATCATAGGTGTCACATTACGTTTATGTAGGTGTCACGTTACGTTACGTTTATGTAGATATGATCTATGGCAACATTCAATTTAAGAAATTGAATGTTGCCATAAATTATAGGTGTCACGTTACGTTTATGTAGGTGTCACGTTACGTTACGTTTATGTAGATATGATTTAAGGTAACATGCAATTTCCTATATAGGAAATTGCATGTTACCATAGATTATAGGTGTCACGTTACGTTACGTTTATATAGATATGATCTATGGTAATATTCAATTTTCTATATATGATTTTACTATTATTTATGATATTAACAACTAATATTGAGGCTAAATGTGTCAACAAACTTCCCACAGGACTTATGGGAACATAAGTTTTTTAGTAGAATTATATGTAGCATAAGTCTCCCTAATAAGACTTATAAATAATTTTTCTGTTTTAAAATTATGATTTGTGTGAAAAATTTGTTTGGTTATGAATTTTGAAAAGAATTTTGAATTGAATTTGAAATAATTAATGTGACATATGATATTTGATTAAAAAACTTACAACTCATAACTAAATATACAATTCAAAATTCTATTCAAAATTTTAAAAAAATTGAAACATTTTAAAACGAATTTTCAAAAATAGTGTAAAATTAAGTTTTAAAAATTATAACTGAATACGATACTCAAACATAAATGACGAGTCATAATTAAAAATCCACACCAAATACATTAGTGTTACTACTTGATTGATTGCATTAATAAAAGTACATACAATTCATCATGGAGCCTTGGAGAAGCGCCCTTATGAAGTCAAAACCCTAAAATTCTTTTCAAGGTGGGATAGAAAGAAATTAATCAATGCTTCCCGTATGGCACTGCCCTATTGGAGGAAATAGGGTCCTAAAAACAATTTTATTGGATGGACCCCGTGAGTAATAAAAGCCATGACTGCTCGACCTTTTCCGTGCATATCTACTCTTAAAAAGCGTCTATCATATGCCCTCTTAATTATATAATTTTTTTAATTATAATAACTTTTTTTTCTTTAATTATGATAATATTTTAATTATAACTTTTAAGATTTTTAGTTATATAAGATGTAATATTTGATTATAACTTTTTTTAAAAAATTATAACTCAAAAAATATAAAGCTATTCAATTTTTTTTTTTATTTTTTTTATTTTTTAATTATAAGATACATATGAGTCTTTTCTTTTCCTAATTACTTTCATGAAAGTGAGGTTTTTATTTGAGTGAAAATGATAAATGTAGGGACCACCTTCTACAGATCCAATGGTGATGTTGTCAGTGGTTTTTATTTGAGTGAAAATGATAAATGTAGGGACCACCTTCTACAGATCCAATGGTGGATGTTGTCAGTGGCAGAACCAAAAATTTAGGGGTCGCGTGGAATGACCTAAATAAATGTATTTTTTATCTTTTTATGAAAAGATGTGTAGAAAAGTAAAAAGATGATGTGATGAAAAAAAGATAAAAAGATAAAAAATGTGTACTTATTTAGAATAGCCAAACTTGACCTTAATATAGAGGAACACATATTAATCATAACATTAAACTTTTTCCCCCATAGCAAGTAACAAGGAGATATTATTAAATTTACATATTTTATTTTTATTTTTATTACAATTATCTTAGGATTTACAATTATCTTTTTATTTTTATTTTATTTTTATTTTTATTACATTAAATTTACATTAAGGTGACTTATAAATCTACAATCAATAACTAAATTTTATTAACCAAATAATTAATAAGTTCAATCCTATCAACTAAAAAAAATTGCCCCACAATGAGGAGAAATAAACAACTAAACAAATTCCATGATAGAAAATGAATTATTAATTGATTTCTATTCTTGTCTTGACCTATCAATTAAAAGTGTACAAGAATAATAAAAATAATAAAATACATAAATTTTAAAATTTTAAAAATATAATAAAATGGCAGTGGCTTTGGTCCAGTCCAAGATCGGACTGGACCGTGCTGTTGGGCCCGTGGAGGCCCACCACGGGTCCCATTTTGATAATCCGAACCGTTCAATTTGTAGAACTCGTCGAGTACTATATGTCTGTAAAAAATTACGTTGATCGGATATCGATAGCTATATGAACAAAACATTTTTTTATCAACCGTCCATTGTTTTACCGTCTATTTTTTTAATACAAAACTTATTTGATCATACAGCTATTGATATCCGATCAACGTGATTTTTTACAAACATGTAGTACTCAACGAGTTCTACACATTGAACGCTTCGGATTATCAAAACGGGCCCAAAATGGGCCTCATGGGCCGAACTGGACTGGTCCAGTCTTGATATCAACTTGAGACAAGCTGGACCCTAATAAAATTTACATAATTTAAGGAGGGTCACTATTAAATTTTATAAAGGATAAATAATACGTAATCTTTATTTATATATGTAATAATATAGATATTGAAAGTTTAGGGGGGACACGTGACGCCCTAAGCCTTATAGGTGGCTCCGTCCCTAGATGCTGTTGTTCCAGTTTCTATGATGTGATTATAATTTATTTTAATTTGTGAGTCTCTATTAAATTGTTTAGTGTAATTTTGATTTATAATTTATTTGACAAAAATAATTTAAATAAATTTATTATTTAAAAACTGAGAAAAAAATACTTTTAACTTCTATTTTTTTTTTTATTATCAACTTTTAACCTTAAAAAAACTTCACCAAACAATCATATTGAATGTTGGCAATTGACCTGAGGTCCATTATGTACCCGTTCGTATTTTAAAACTTGCTCCAAATTATTCTGTTTGATTGAATTTTTTAAAACCTTTTTTTTTTAAATAAAATTAATTTGAAAAAAATAAATAACAAACAATTATTTGTAAATTTTTTAAAATTATTTTCATATCAAAAAAGAAAAAATTATATAAAAGTTATGAGTTTTTTTTTTCGGTTTTTTACCAAACTAGTTTTTGTTTTTGTAAAAAAAATAAATTAAAATTCAACGAAACAAGGTGAGATTATCAATTTTTGTTAATTTATTTACAATGATATAACTTTTAATAGAATTAATTAGTCTATAAAATTTACCTAAATGATGAGTAATAAAAATAAAATTTGTTGAGTTGAGTTCGCTAGTAATATAATAAAAATATGAGACATTTTAATAGTTGAATAAATTATATTAACCTTTTTTTGAAATTAAAAAAAAATTATATACATTATGCCGCGTGCATCTCACATTCCACTCTAGAGGGACATATCAAAGATAGCGGGAGCAGCTTTGCCATTTAAAGAGACATACAGAAATA